TCTGCAAATCCCCTCACTGACATGTTCTCAGAGGTCAGTGACCTGGGGATCCAGTTGGGATGGCAAGCAGCATTCACTATCACACTCCAAATGGCTAATAGATGTGTTCAACAGTTTCTATGCTTCTTTTAGCACCCTACTAGAACTAGACAGTAAGACCCTATTGAGGATGGCATTATGCGATTTGAATATATGTGTTTCTCTGTGAAACCAAAGAGGAACTGGACTGGGAGCTTCCTCCCTTTTAGCTGGCATTTGGAGTTCCAGAAGGTTCTGTGCAAGATGTTGGTGGGGATAAGCCTGCATCAATAATCACACTCAGCTGTATTCTCCAATACCATTCTGCCATGTAAGGTATATGTGTTGCTGTAGTAGCGGCATTATGGTTCCAGTGGGTAACCAACCACCTGCAAACTGAATCTGAGATCTGCCCCCACATGCTTGGTAACAATCACCCTGGTCAAAAACCTATGGCCAGAGAGGATACCAGCCCTATGGGAGCAATCTACTATTGATGCATCAATAAATGGTCATAGAGTTAAATAACCTTCTAAATATTTCTAATTACATCCTTAGACTAATGCAACAATCTGCCCTGGTCAGAGAAACCTCTTCTGTCAATGAGTGATGGTCAAACCAGAGACTCACAGCTAGTCAAAGCCCTAAACAAGGTGTCTATATTACCCACTGTAGGCCCAGTGAACATCGCAGAAAAGCGGGTGGAAGACTGTGAGAGCCAGAGGGTAGGAAAGAATGTGGTAAAATTCTGTCTTCTAGACACCACATGGCCACTGTAACCACAAACACACAGCAGCTATGAACACCTGTGTGTGTGTGTGTGTGTGTGTGTGTGTGTGTGTGTATGAGAGAGACAGAGAGAGAGAAAGAGAGGGAGGGAGGGAGGGAGGGAGAGAGAGAGAGAGAGAGAGAGAGAGAGAGAGAGAGAGAGAGGAAAAAGAGAGAGGTTAGTAGTAAAGGAAGAATAAAATCTGGAAAATACAATCACAATGCATTGTATTCAAGTATGATGCTGTGCAAAGTAAAAATTTTAAAACACTCTCAGTGATATTCATCATCAGAAAAATGCAAATGAAACCCACAATGGATACCATTACCTGCCTTCTAAAATAGCCACAGTTATGAAGTAAATAGGATGTCCTGGCAAAACTGTAGATGAAATTGTCTGCCGTAGCTAATAAGAATGCAAACTGGTACAATTTCCTTGGAACCCTAGTTTGGCACAAATTAAGTTAAAATCACATTTAGCCTATAGCCCTAAAATTGTGTCCCTAATTATATAGATGACAGAAATAACACATACATAAGCAAGTGGCATTTGCAAGAATGCTCGAAGGAGTACAATGGCCAAAAGACTCAAACTAGAAAAACGTCCTTAAAAACAGAATGGGTATGTAATGAGGGAAAGTCATAAAATGGATAATTCTACAGTGATAAGCAACAACATGGATGCTTTTTAAAAGAATTGTAAGATTTATTTATTTTATTTGCTTTTATTTTATGCATGTGTTTACTTGCCTGTATGTACGTGCACCACATGCCTTCCTGGTGCCCGTGGCAGCTAGAAAAGGGTGCCAGATGCCCTAGAACTGGAGACACGGCAGCTGTGGGCTGCCGTGGTGCTGCTGCTGGGAACTAAAGCTGCATCATCTGAAAGAGCAGCAAGTGCGCTTAACCAGTGAGCCTTCTCTCAAGATCTAACATAGATCACATCTGCAAGTGCAGGGTTACGTGAAAGAAGCCAGATATGAGAGAATACAGTGAATTATTCTAAGATGAAAGCTGCTAACTGGGCATCTGGCGTGGGAACGTTATTCGGCTCCTGGGCCTTCCCTGCATGGTGTTTACCAGCACGTTCACTTTATGAGGACCCAGAGATCTTTCTCTTTGTGTATTATGCTTCAGGTTACAACTGATTTTCAGGGCTGGAGGTTGAACACAAGACCTTGTAAAAGCGAATCAAGTGCTCTGCTGCTGAGGGTATCCAAGAATTACTGTTTTAAAAGCATAATCTATTTCTAAAAGATTAAATAAAATGGTTTTGTGGAAGAGTTGGTGGGATGGGATTCCATTGGATTTTAGGTATTAGATAAAATTAGCATTTAAACTGATGGTGTAATGTGAAAAATTGCTAAGACTCTCTAAATACCCACACAGGATGACAAGATAACTAAAGCACCCTAGGGAACACATAAGGCCCAGACGTATATTGCACTCCCTCCCCAGGACTTTCTTTTCTGCATTTGCATCCCACCCTCAACCTGTTACAAAGAGCATTATCTCACCAGGTTTCTCCTGTAACTGCCACCAGTTCAAGTGTACTTTAAAAGTCGTTGTATTTATACAGCCCTGACTCTGGCCTGATTTCAGGAATGAGCATTTTCCCCTCATTCACAAGGTAGTTTTCCATCTAGAAACCACAAATTAACAAGTACACATTTCAACTGACCTGTTAATCTGTAGTTCACACCTCAAAGACATTCGCTTCTTTTTCTTAATGTAAGAGACATACAAGGAAACTATTAAAGGAACAGACTTTGGAATGAGAGCAGCCAGAACTCCAGTTTTACCTCTATTGCTCTAAAAGAACAACCAGTCCAAGCCTGTCTCCTTTCTTCTATGCTTAAGTAATATGACTAATCCCCAGGATTGCTGGCATTAAAGGAGTCAGCACATGTCAAAATCTTAGTGTAGTATCTATGTGAAGAATTCACTAACTTTGTAGTATCCGTGTTATATATCATACCTGGTTTCTAGTTTCATTTCGGTTGCTGTGATAAAACACCCTGGAAAAAAACAGCTGGGAGAGGGCATTATCCTAGCTTGAAATTCAAGGTCAAGGGCCATCACTGTGGGTAAGGCAGGAACTTCTGTTGGCTACTTATACCACATCCACAATCAAGAGAGGTCAGAAATAAGTGTATGTATGTTCACTTACTTCTACCCTTTTGCACGGGGTAGAACCTCCTGCCTAGGAAGTAGTGTTGCCCATAATGGGTTCGGTCCTTCACATCAATTAACTTAAGACAATCCCACCTAGATACATCCACAGGTCAACCCAATGTGGGCAATTCCCAACAGAGACTCTCTTCCCAGTTTGCAAGATGCTAGCTTGTGTCAAGCCGGTAAAGCGGAGCATCATGCCTGGAAAATATTTAGGATTTAAAAAGGTGTGATTTGGGGTGTGTGTGTGTGTGTGTGTGTTGTAGTGCTTGAAGGTGGGAGTAGTGGGGTGCTGCTTTTCTGTTTACTAGAAAACCCAAAAACTCCTAGTCCAATGGGCTCCATAAGCTAAGATTTCAACATGATTAATGGTGACAGCGGCCCTGTAATGTAGACAAGTAAAATAAAATACCTGTGTGATTATGTTGTTTCACAGATCTTCGGAGGATACACTGAGGTTTGTTTAGCTTGGGAAGGACAAGGACTGCACTGGCTGGAATTAACAGATGTGGTAGGAGGTGAGAATGTAAAAGTACTAAGGTCCAGCACCATGAAAATACAGAAAGATGCCAAGGAAGTGCCCTAAGGTGAAAACAAGAAGTGAAACTCTTCTTCAGTTCTTAGGAAACATCACCGAGTCCCAACCTAGTAAATCCTAGAGCTACACTCAGCCTTCCCGAGGATGCAGTAAGGAATCCCTGCTGCGGAAAGGGCATTTCTTACAAGTGAACCCTGGGTTAGTCACCCACAAGAATCAGAGGATCTCCAGAGAGGGCAGGATCTAGCTGTCTCCCAAGAAATACCGATGTTTAAGTTAAGGAAGCGCCAGGTATACGTCCGCTCGAGCAAGCCCCTTTTAGGCTATGGATGAGTCATATTGAAGCAGAGAAGTTTACAAGTCCTAACACTTATAAAAATAGTGTATTACTAGCTTAGAGTTTTTCTTACGGTTTTCAGGAATTGCGTATGAATTAGTAAGAGCCCAGTTTTGGAGGAAGGACGAGAAACAGAATGATTTCCTTAACAGGAAGATGTCAGAGAGCTAGTCGCTGAAAAGGAACGCTGAGATTGAAACTGACTGAGTAGCTGATTGCACTGCGACTTCCACGCTTAATGCTATAGAAACAAAAGGACCTAAGGTCCATACACGGTAAAGGAACTTCACAAAAAAAAAAAAAAAAAAAAAGGAGATTCGGACCCATGAGAATTGAGTCTGACCAATGAGGCCGATTCTTCGAGAACACGAAGAAGCTGGAAACTGGGACCAAAGGCTGCTGGAACCGTTTCTGCCAGGGTAAAGACCAAAAGAGATCTACTAAGAAAACAGAAAATGAACAGTGAAAAAGGTCTGTCCTTCCTTCTCTAGCGCCCCTACCGGCGGGAACTAGAGGCGCAGCCGACACACCGGACCGGCTTTAACACTCAGAGACAACCCAACCTGGACTCTTGTCCTTTGAAACCGAAGAGAACAGGAATTTAAGACACTCCGAAAACTCTTGCGTTTCCAACTGCCTTCGCCACCAAAAAGGGGTTTGTTTGTTTTGTTTTGTTTCGGTTATAGAGACTCCTTTCTTCCTAAGGGCAGTTGATGCAAGTTTAGGGTCATTTCTCTTTATTTGTGCATTTACAACAGGAATCTAGGGAAGAGAGAGAGAGAGACCATGCCTGAGCCACATGGTTAATTTGTTTTCCGTTGCGCTTAATATTTACAACTACCTAGAAGGGACCGCTGGAGAGATCTGCTTGCAGATTTTTCTCACACTGTTTTCTTACTTTCTCTCTTAGTTAGGGGACCACCTCTCACAGGCTTGGGAGGCTTCAGGCCATTTGTTGGGTTTTGAGGTTGCCTCTGCCCCTCTGTAAAATGCAGAGACTCCTGACTTCAGGTGGCGAGGTGGAAGGACATCCTGAACAAGGTAAAGCAGGATGCCCAATAGTACCTTGAGAAATGTCTGTTTCACTCTTCCAGCATCTACCGGGATAACATCTGACATTTCAAGTGAGGGAGAAGACTATGCTGGGCCGGGATGAGCCATTACCTGCTTCGATCTCCATCAGTCCTTGAAGCCTGCGGATTCGGAACTGAAACCCAGGAAGTTGTCCTTGCGTACAGGGACACCTTGCGGGGAAGCCGTGTGTGATCGGCTGCCTCTGGACCCATCGCCCTCAATCCCGCTGGAGAGGAGCGCTGCAGAGGTCACGCCGCGTTCCCCGAGATGTGACCGGAGCTGATTGCCCATGCGCGCTCCCGGGACCCTGGCGCCCAGCTGCCCCTCGCTGCCGGGGCTGCTGCCCCCGCTGATACTTCTGCTGGTCGCTTCGGGACAGGCAGGTAGGAGGATCACGCCGCCAGGGCGGGGGCGACGGCCGCAGCGGAAGCATGGAGGGATCCTTGCCTGGAGACTAGCTCCGCCACCCGTGCTTCGGGACTGGGCTCTGGCTTGCTGGATCCGAGCTGGGGCTGGGGGTGGAGGGGTAGCAGTAGCACTTCTGAGTGGTCCATGAAGTCTGTGACCGTGACGTCGAGGGGCGGCTCGCACTACAGCTGTGCCAGGTCCAAGACTCCTAGAGTGTGCAGCTCCTGGAAGGTCAGGAAAAAGCCGGAGATCGGTTCCAAAGGGGAAAGCCGTAATCTGCTCTTCTGGGCACATTCTTCCCTCCGCGTTTGCGACATATACAGATATGTGCTCTTGATTTTTCAAAAATAACAAAACCCAACTATGACATAAAGCACTAGAGGGATTTTCTTTGTTGTTTTAAAGTTTAAAGTGTACCGCTTTGATTCAGAAAGACAGTATGATTCTCTAAAGAAAACATATATATATATATTTCTTCCATTTAAAAACATACTTTTTAAAAACGCAAGATATCTTACACGCCTCCCCTTAAGTTTTTAAAGACAACAGCCATAGGGCTTCTCAAAGTATCGATTGGCGTTTATATAACATTGACGCAGGCTCCTGTGCCATTCCATGTAGCCTGGAACTGAACAGCGAGGGAAAGAAAGATATCCATGAGGCTGCAATCTGAGAAAACACGAAGCTCAGCATGCTTTCCGAGGCAAGAATCGTGCACGCTGCCCTCAGAGCGACTGCTAAGCAGTATACTCTACACAAAAAGTTTCTTTGCTAACCTCTAAATTTATGAAAATGTATGATTGTATTTTAATAATCCCAGAGAACTCAAATGTGATGAGACTTATTCAAACACCACTGACATAAATTTGTTTTTTGGTTTTTGAAGCACAGTTAAAGTTTATTAGAAAAGGTTTTAGCAGAGTTTTAAATACAGACATCAAGGGAAATGAGAGACATATATAAATATGTATATATGCACATATGTGTGTGTAAACATTATGAGTGTATATATGTATATATGTGTGTGTGCACATATAAATGTATATATGTATATATGTGTGTGTGAGTGATTAAGGGAAGATCTCCAAATGTAATGTATGCAATAGAGTCAGCATACTGAATTTGTTTGGTTTCAATCAGAGAAATAAAACTTGCTCACTAACTGGACAAAGACAATGACATTAGAAAGCAATAATATTCCTAACTTCAAAGCAAAATTTGTAAGCAAACACACACACAGTGCTTTTTGATCCATGGGACAAAGAAATTTTCTTGGCATTTAACATGGAACTGTCTTCCATAGACACTCTGAGGGCTACTAGGAAAACCAGTTAGAAGGTGGGTTGGATGCACAGACACCATTCCTAAACTTAATTGCTTAACTGTCAGATAAGCCCCCCCTGGTCAACCAGAACACGGGCTTTAAGAGTTGAATGACAAGCCACTCATGGGCAGACAATACTTTAACTTTTGAACTTTTTCTTTTGCACACAAATTCAGAGCGACACAACAGGATCAGGGCATATAATGCCAAAACACCCAAAGAGAAATTAACATGGCATGCAGCACCAACATTTTATACAGATCTTGATGTTTCGTTTAAGGTAAACCATTAAAGGAGTTGTGCGTGTCTCCATAGTTCCCTCAGGCTGGTGTAAACCCGTTATTGACTCTCTGGACAGAGGTTTTTCCAGTTTATCCCTTTGGCCAAACAAAGTGGGTCCTATAAATAACCTGTATTTTCATTGCTGTCTACACTTCTCTATCTCCATGAGGATAAGGAGCTCCATGATGATGCTTTAACAGAGTTTACAATACAATGGCCAACATTGTACTAACATATCTTAAACCTATAAGAGACTGAAAAACAACGATTTCCAAGGACAGCATGTCTCTGTTCAGAATCCCTCAAGGGCTTCCATTGCAGTGTTCTGTGTGACCTGCTCCCTCTTCTCTCTCCAGCCTTACTTTAATTGCTCCTCCTCTGTTCTTTTTCCAGTTCCCAGAGCAAGGCAAATGCCCAGGATCCATTCTTGCTGTTCCTTCAGCTAGAATGCCCCTCCCCCACCGGCACTGGCTAACCCTGCTTATAGCCTGCATCTCACCTCAATGTCACTCTCACGGAGAGACCATTCGTTAATTTCCAACGTGGAAATAGACTCCACAGGACTTACTGGCCATCCTACCCAATTGATGCTTCTTTGAGTCACCCTCCTGCAACGTTGGTACAGGATGATTAATTCCCTGCCCCCTGCTTGAGCGCCTCTCCCACAGGAAACTCACTACCAGCACCCAGATAGGCAAGATGCCCTGCCAACTAACTACTAAGAAGTCCTTCCATAAGCTAGCACAACACTTGCTCCCTGCTATTTCCATCCGTCATTTGTATTTCTTTTGAGCTGATGAAGTCCCTCAGGATAAGGAAAACGTGTTCTCGTTGGGGCTGTAGCCACTTCTGTACTCTTGGCTCACAGCCTCTTATGTGACATTTGTGCCGTGTCCCCTCTCTGTGTTATTTTTCATGATGTCTTCCAACGCATTTGTGGCTTTTGGGGCTCTCTCTACAGAGCTTAATGGAATGGCTACCTTACTAAACAAGGACCCCAGGCAGACTGTGCTCATATTATCTTAATTTCTAAGACCTACAAGGCTTTCTTCTCATCTCTCTTGTCATCTATGAGACAAACTATGACCAGACTCAGAATTTCATATCAGTACAATTTCACTTGTCTGGCAGAGGTGGCTTCCTGCTTGCCTCTTGGAGTATAGAGAAAGCGTGGCTTAGTGTTTTATCTAGAATTCCTGATGTCTGTGATGGTGGGCTGTTAGTACAACCAAGACACTCTCCAGGAAAGAAAAATTTAATTGATTTTACACATTATCTATACCCAATTCTTCCTGCTCTCTGAGGGTGGTAATCACATTCCATCTTGAGCCCACCAAGGTGGTGAATTTCATCACTCTCTGCCCACTGCCTAGTCTGATGCCAGTTCTGAGGATGGAAATAAACAGTCCGTCTTGTCCACACTTGTCCAGTCACACTTCATTTCCTCGTGGGTACATTCCAACTTCCTCTTGAATGGGAGTCAGAGTCTCCTTCCACGTAGCTAAAGAATAAGAATGCTTTGCTGACAATGGATATTTTCGGCAGTTTGTATATATGTTTCCACCATTTAAATTTCTCCTTTCCCTACTTTGTTCCCCCCACATCAGGCTCTGCCTTCTTCCAGGTGAGCTAGTAGTTCTTGCAGAATTCTCTGAAATAAACCACGTGCTCTTTCTGAGGGAATAGAAAAGTACATCAATTTTTTTAGGGCTGCCACAACACACTGTCACAAGCTGGGGGACTTAAAACCACATAACTTTATGGCTCACAGTGGTGGAATCAGGAAGCTCAGGTGCTAGGTGCCGGCAGGGCTACTCTTCCTAAGCACGGGGGTGGGGTGGGCTCCACTGCATGGCTCTCCCTCTGCTTTCAGCTGCTAACAGCATCTGGTGTTCCTAGACTTGAGGGCACACTGCTCCATCGCTGCCCTGTCTGATCTCGTCTCCAAGTGGCCACCTCTCAATGTCCCTTCACGTGGTCTTCTTGAAGACTGTGTGTGCCTTCCTCTTTGTTCAAGTTTTCCCTTTTTGTATAAAGATTTCAGCCCAGCCAATTGACCATAAAGGCCATGTTTACAAATAAGGGCAGATTTGCAGTACGTGTGTGTGTGTGTGTGTGTGTGTGTGTGTGTGTGTGTGTGTGTGTAGGGGCATTAGAATTTCAGTTATTTCTCTTGGGCAGTACAGTTCAAAGTCACAACACCTACCATATACTCCAAGGTGACAAAATCCATAGGCTTGGCTTCTCCAGTGAGGAAAACAAGGTACTTTCAGCTGCGTACACAGTATCCCTTCCTCGTTAGCGCCATTAGTGGTCTGTGTCCACTACTGAAAGGAAGTTTTGTGGATGTGTCACACCTGGAAGGCTGCACTGAGAGGGTTGAGAGTAGACACAGGGTCTTCTCTTGTGCTTTCTGTATCATAAGCTTGAAGGACTGCTACCTCGGCCTTTCAACAAAGACTCGTGGTGTCCAGCTCCCTGCCTCAGGGAAGCTCTGTTCTCACACCTCTGCCGCCCATCTCTGCAGTTAACTGCTCCAAATATGTGTGACGCAAAAATACCCACTTTATTGCAGACCAGCTCTCCCTCCATTTTATATTAAAATATATGTGTTGCAGAGTGTCTGCTAAATTACTCCCTAAGTGCTCAATGTGTTATTTAAGGAGAAATAGTTCATAGACTTTAGGTGTCAAACAGAACTGCATGTACAGAGAAATGAGGAATCTGAGGCAGTCAGATTACACAAAATGAAATCAGTGCAATGTCCTAAGCATGCATTCTGAGTTCTCCCGAAATTTAAATATATCCTCACTCAATGTGATTTTTAAATAATCTCATTTACCCACTTATTCAGCGTCATTCATTCATACATGTAGGAACTATTCTAGGCTCCTAACTGAACAAGAAATAGACCTTCTCTTTATGTACTCTCCAGAGAAAGCCAGAAAAGTTAGGGTGCAAACATCAGAACTGAAGGGGAGAGTCTCACAGACATACAGAACAAGACACCTGATCTAGTCTGAGGGCAAGGTTGGCGTCCTGCAGGAAAAGCCTTACCTAACACGGGGATGTGGCAGCTTGAATCTGAAACGTGTCTCAAATGTTCTCCCCTGCTTGTAGGCCTGTTCTAAAGGCCTTAGAGCTTGACGACCTGCGTAGGCTAGCAGAAGTAGATCAGTAGTGGTGGGCCTCATTACTGACCCTGGTTCCGGCCTGCAGTTTCCACATCCTGGTCCATGCCAGGTAGACAGCTCTTGTTTCATGTTTCTGCCTCTACAGCAGAGCTACGACCGACCCCCTCCCCGAACTCCAGCTTTCCTCATTATCCTAAACAGAAACCTCCCCAAAACCCTGATCTAAAATAATGCCTTTCTCTCCTAAGTCCTTCTGTCACCACGATGCAAATGTAACTCAAAGAACTAACATCACATTCTCCCTGCCTCAGAAGGAAAGATGCAACAGAAGAAAAATGTATCTCAATAGCAAAAGAAACATTAAATGCTTTTAGGAAAATGCATATAAATTCAGCAAATAACCAAAACAGTTTCCTATATATTACATCAGATACTTACAACTCAATATACATCTAATCTTTTTTAACTTAAATATTTGCAAAAGGGATGGGCTGGGGCTAAGTCCCACAATAAATGAATCCTATCTCTAAATTACCAAGTACTAATATTCTTTTTCCCATACATTTCTTACTTACAAAACACATCTGAACAAAGAAAAAGCAACAACATAGAGAGAGGGTGCTCTTTCTGAAACTGGTGGTTACAGAGTGGGTAGGAGTCAGGAGCTCTGTGGGTAGAGACTGACCTCGAGGTCATTGACAGACTCCACAAGTCACTGTGTCTGCAGCCCACTGCAGCACTGAATCAAACCACAGACAGTTATGAAAGGCACACGTGCTAAGATGTGGTTTTTAATAAAGGTGCCGTTTCCCACTTCCTGCTCCAACACAGTTTTTGAAAGGCCCTGCTAATTTTAATGAAGCCGTGTGCAGTGGGTGGCTTATTGATCCAGTTTCCACCCTGTTTCTGGAAAGTTCTAACACTGTCAGTGAAGCAGCAGGTTGGCTGAAATTAACATCTGAAAACTCAGGTCACCCCTGGCCCCAGAATATATTTGGAAATGGGATCTTTGTGGATATAACTTGAAGATCTCATGACTCAGTCATTTTGGAACCAGGCTGGACTGGGGTACCTACAGGAAGACAAGAGAACTCTGACAGGCCCCATGGAAGCAGAGATATGCAAAGCTTGAAGTTATAGCCACCATAAGTCCAGAAACCCCGTGAGCCCCAGGAACTGGAAGAGATGGGAAGCAGGCTTCAAAGAACCTTCAAAGACTGCATAGCAGAAGACGCCTTGATTTGAGACATCAAGCCTCCAGAATTGTGATAGACACATCTTTATATCTCAGAGTCACCCCTATGTGGTACCTTACCTTGGAAGTGCTAGGAGACTGCCCCTGGCCTTGGATATTGTCTGTGAAGTTCATTTTGCTAATTGCTTCTATGGTAATATTCTCATTTTTGGGTTATGACAAAATAATATAAGTACCTCAATTAGCCAGCCCTCTTCAAGGCTTATGCAGCAAATGAACCCTCCACCCATTCATTTTATTGCATGAACTATACAGCTTCCCTAATGTATAATTTAAGTCCAAAAAGGTCTGCCCCTCATCACATACACTCTCAAAAACACCAATGGTCTAGCTTGACACTATAGAGGAGAGCTAGTCTAGAGACAAACCATCCTCCTTTCTAATGGTACATGGGATGGTAGTGTTATGGTTAAGTCTAGTGGTGGTTAACCTTCCTAATGCTGACCCTCTAATACAGTACACAACATTACAGTAACCCAGTCACAACATCATTTTTGTTGATACTTCATAACCATAAGTTTGCTACTATTATGAATCTTAATGTAAATGTCTGATATGCAAATGGTCTTAAGTGAAAGGGTCATTTGACCCCACAAGTTGAGAACCCCTGAGTTAGTCTGAGATCTATCTATTAGCCTCATTTCCTTCAAAATCTAAGCCAACAGTGAACAGAAGTAGATTCTATTGATGAACTTCTGGAGAGTTAAAACAAAATGGAAAGGGCTTGGACTGTGTCGCATTTCAGCTGTCAAGGACTTTTGTGCATCCACTGAGATGGTTGTGTGATTCTTTGAGTCCATTCATATGGCTCATGATATTTATTTACTTGCATAAGCTGAACCACCGACTAAGCAGACTCAGTGTGAGTGTGTGTGTGTGTGTGTGTGTGTGTATGCATCTGTGTGTGTTTTAAAGTCACACAGGACAATCTTTATTATAATTCATTGTTACAAATAGGGGTGGGAAGGAATCTGCTTTCTTCCTTCTCTCTCCCCCTACTCCTCCTTTGTCCATCTTTTCCTTTTTTAATTACCTCATATTTTATTTCCAAGTATCAATATGTTATCACGTTAAAGCTACCTTACTTTCTGGGCTGTTCCCCCGCCCCCCCCCCCGGCATTTTATTTTGACTTTCTGAAATTCTTAACAATGGTGACGTCAGTGAAGAGCTGTGCTGTCTCTAGGAGGGAGGATTGAAAGAAGGACAAGTTGTAAAAGGGAGGCAAACGTAAAATGGGAGATGGGTGCTGATATTGAGATGTCCAGCGATTGAACTTTGTGTTTGCGATCATGGTTCATTCCAATACGTTAGTGATCCTGGATGCTTTGACCGTATTCATTGTCGGACTTTTCTTTCTGAGGCTTATAACCAAGGATTAGAGACACAGGCCCACATTCCCATCTCCGGCTCCACAAGTGCTAGGAAAAGTTAACATCCTAAAGTGTGGAAGAATTGGGTGCTTGTCCTAAAAGTCTCTTTCTCTAAAGGAGAAGGGAGGGGAAATAGAAGGGGAAGGTGACCCCAGAGATGCTGTGACAGTGGGCCTGGGTCTGTAACAGAGAGTCGGCTGGACTATTCAAATGAACCATGCCTTCTTCCAAGTAGGCACCTGGGACAGGCTGGGCACCATATCTCACAATGGAGAGTTTCTTAAGTCCCTTTTCTTCAGAGTCACAGGCAGGACCTCCCATACATGAGTCAGGAAATCCCATTCAGTAACTGACCTGTGTCTTTGGGGAGCCAACAGCAGTTCCAAAACATTCACCACACTTTGAAGAACCTTGGGCAACCCAGCTGTGAAATGCTACACTAAACAAAAACAAAGCATGATTAGTGAAGAGCCGTGCTCGATTGTTTTTCTTGTTTGGAAGCTGCCTATGAAGACACTGTTGCTAAAAGGAAGCATGTTCCAAATGCCCCAAGCTAGTCAGTACTGTGGGGCCAATCATAAACCTCTTAAACTGGTTTGAAAACACACCACCTTCGATGGGTAGACTCCAATATATTCATTAAACTAAAAAGCCTCTATTTGAAATCCCACTTGCTTTGAGCACAAACAGCAAAATGCAAGAAAACATGTTTAAGCACATCGATTTACATAGTGAGGTGTGATTAGAAAGGAAAAATACTGAGGATTTGCTTTGTTTTGTCTTCCTCCACATGACTTACCCTTCACCCTCCCATGTAAGCACACACAGCAGGAGAAGGATATGTTGTTGCGTTGTGTTTTCTGGGGAAAACATGAGCAGTCATCCCAGATTTGGAACTACTGACAAACTGTAGAAATGATTCCTCCCGTGTCCAACTGGGTGAGCCAGTGTGTGTCTTGGGTTTACTTACAGGAGAGTAGGTGACTGGGAACCAAGAGCATCACTCAGCAGTCCCGTCCCGACATAGGTGACAACCTGAAGGAAGCTTCCAGTGGAGCTTCAGGTCACCCCCCACCTCTTCTTGGTTGTTTTGCTTTGTTTATTTATTTTTCCATTCTTACATCCTGACCAAAGTTTCCCCTCCCTCCGCCCCTCCAAGTGCCTCCACCAACCCCACCCCACCCGACCCCTACCCACTCCCCCTCTTCTGTTTCTCTTCAGAAAAGGGCAGGCCTCCCAGAGATAACAGCCAGTCACTGCATGTCAAGTTGCAGTGAGACCAGGCACCTCCTCATCTATTAATGCCAGACAAGGCAATTTGGGAGGAGGAATGGGTCCCCAAAGCAGGTAACAGTCAGAGACAGCCCCTGTCCCCACTGTTAAGAGTCTTACAAGAAGGCCAAGTTACACAACCATAATATATATGTAGAAGGCCTAGGTAGGTCCCACGCAGGTTTTGGATTCAGTCCCTATGAGCCCCTTATGAGCCTAGGTTAGTTGGTTCTGTTTGTTTTCTTGTGGTGCACTGGACCCCACTGGATCTTACAATCCCTCCTCCCCCTCTTCCACTGGATTCCCTGAGCTCCACCTAATGCTTGGCTATGGGTCTCTTCATCTGTTTCCATCAGTGTCTGGGTGAGGCCTCTCTGATGACAATTGTGCTAGGTACCAATCGGAGTATAGCAGAATGTCATTAGGAATCAACTCAGTGCCTTTTTTTTTTTTTTTTTTTTTTTTTTTTTTTTTGCACACCGGTTGTGCTTGGTTCTATCCTGTGTCTCTGGGCTATCTGGTCTTTGGGACCTGGCCCTTGAGGGTTGAGCTTCCTTTCATGGTATGGGTATCAAGCTGGGCCAGTTGTTGATTGGCCACTCCCATAATTTCTGTACTATCTTTACCTTAATACATCTTGTAGGCAGGGCAAATTGTAGGCCGAAGTGCTTGTGACTGGGTTGGTGCCCCAATTCCTTCACTGGAAGTCTTGCCTGCTTACAGGAGATGGCCAGTTCAGTTCCATATTCCCAATTGCTAGGAGTCTTAGCTAGGGTCACCCTCATAGGTTCCTGTGAGTTTCCATGGCACTAAGTTTCTAGCTCATCTCAGAGATGTCCCTAGAATCCAATTGTCTTTCCCAGTACTCTCTCTCTCTTCCCCAGACCTGATCCCTCCTGTTCCCATCCCCAGCCCCTCCTAAACCCCTCCCAATATAGGTGACAACCTGAAGGAAGCTGCATCAGTGGTGCTTCTGGTCACCCCCCATCTCTTATATACTCATTTTTTCTAACAGCTCCAAGACCAGGAGCAGCCGGAAGGGAGGGATTGGTGAACACCCCATTGCCCTGCTCTAGCTTTCTACGGAGGAATGTTGATAGTCTGTTATCATTGTCATAAATGTAGCTATCACTTAATTGTTCTGATCACTTTTGTCATTATTTAGGGTCCAAGCATTCTATAGGTCATCACAATAATCTCTGCTCCATGATTGCTGATGGTCATGTTAGAGTCAGAGAAAAGTCACTCTCGGATCATATATAGTGATGGGTGATAGCCCAAATTCAGAATCTTAGCTCTGTGAGAGGGGAACCTTATGTGTATTTCTGTTCCCAGTCATGCCTCAGTGCCTATCACAATTTCTATTTGTAGCCCATCCTAGTTGCCTCATTAAAAGGATTATATGATTGTGTTTTTCCAAGAAGCAGCATCCTGCATTGACTTTTTCTGCCCTTAGAAACTACCTTCTATAACATGCAAAACACAGTGATCCCATAGTCTTTTCTTCCACAACACTGTTCTCCGGAGCATTTTCTGAAGGCAGTGGGAGAGTATCCTAGCAGAGAGAGCCGTGCCAATGACACTTGGGCTATGCATCTGCCAAATAACTGAACTACTCTAAGCAACTCGTCCAGCCCCAGCGCCAGCCCCAGGCTTCCATTTAGCCAGCTATAAAAATGAGAATAGTTACTCTGTGGAGAATAATGCCAAGCTAGCAATTATTTTATTCAGCTCTTTCTTCGTACCATGCTCTGCCAAGAGCTTTACATTAACACTACTGTTTGACCATTGCAACAAGCCTAGAAGGCAGCTTGATTGTTCCATTGCTGCAAGTGAAGAAATTGAGACAAAAAGTTAAGTATTTTACTTAGATGCACAGTTAATAAGCAGCAAAATAGGTGTAGGCGCCAGTGTATGTGTCTAGAACCTCTCTGACCTGTTCATATAAACTATTCTCAGAGGCCAATGAGATACAGCAAGTGGCAGTGCCCTATATAATGGACAATTCAGAGAAACTGAGACATATACAAGTACAACAGAGATTATACAAATGTGATCCAGTTGCCCTCCCAGGTTTTTTGTTGTTCTGTTTTGTTTGTTTTTGTTTTTGTTGTTTGTTTTTTTGTTGTTGGTTTTTTTTCAAGACAGCATTCCTCTGTGTAACCCTGGCTGTCTTGGAAATCTCTCTGTAGACCAGGCTGATCTCTAACTCACAGAGATCCAGAACCTCTGCCTCCTGAGTGCTGGGATTGAAGGCATGGCCCCACCATCTCTGGGCTCTGGGTTTTTAGAGACTGGAAGGATTTAACCTCTACATACTCTTCCATCATTATCTTGGCCAGGCTCCTTGCATCATGTTTTTAGCAACATATATGTTATTGACGGTGGCAAGAGCCCTATCTTCTCAGACGGGTTTTCCCATCCCAGAGTCTCCTGAGAACGCTGCTCTCCCAAGCCCAGGTTTCTTCCTAAATCCCTATCCAGCTGTGTTCTGTGACTCACATTGGTAGCATACATCCTTTTCCAGTCTGACCACCATTGGGTAAGAATGTGCCTGTTTAATTAAATAACTAGCTTTTTAGTGCTGTACTTATTTTCCATGGCCAGAGGCTCTATAAGGGCAGAAACCAATCCGATTAGTCACTATTAGATGTCCACAGAGTAATCCCAGGCTTTAGTTCCACAATATGGCTGACTTGAAATGACAGAATTTATTCCTTCATCTCTTGGAAGCCATAAGTTAAAATCAAAGTGTTGGCTACCTTGAGCTCCTGCCGGAAGCCTCCAGAATAAGTTATGCCTACCCTTTCCCTAACTTATGGAAGTCCTAGGGACGTGCATGCAGATACATCATCCTAACTTTGGTCATCATTGTTACATGATTCCCTCTCTGTGTTTGTGTCTTTTCACATGGTTGTATTTTTATAAAGACACAAGTAATATTGAATTAAGAGCCCATGCTGCTCCAGTGTGACCTCAAACTAATGGAGTTTCTGCACCAAGCCTATTTCCAAATAAGATCACATCCAGAGACATTGAAGATTAGGGTTTCAACATATATAGGGAGGGGAAGAACACAATTCAACTTGTAGTACAAAAAATTTAAATGAATAAATAAAATGATGAACAAGTATTTCACATTCATACAGGTGGAATTGACTATAGTGTGTTCAATATGAAAGTCAATGAGCTAAAGTCAAAAGCTAAAGTGATTCTTTTTTTAGAAATACATAATTTTTTTGTGATTCCAAATTAATAGAGATTCTATAGTTATCAACTTAAAAGAAATTAGAATAAACTTCAGCACATTAGTCTGGGAACCCCTATCTTGGTCATCACCTCATTGTTGGGAATGTGTTTCACAAGTATAGCTCCTACTTGGATTCTTTAGGGTCAGATACAGAAAGAAAGAAATGACAGTATTTCTGACAGGAAAAAGGAAAGCCTTCCTTCTATTACAGGATGTGGTGGGTTTTTTATATGTGTTGATCAGGTCAATATCAAATAATAGTAACACTTAAATTATCTTACATTTCAACATCATAGAATATACATGTTTTTCCATAGGCTCTGGCGTCTCTTTGTATAACTGCTTTGCAATGGTGGTAGGTGAGTGATGCTAAGAGGGTATTGTGTGTTCTCAAGTCCATTTCTCTCCAGATTATATACATGAACTTGTGCAATTAACTTCTCTGTGCGTCAGTTGCTTTATCTATATAATTAGGATGATAACATACCTACCACAGGGCTTCTGTGGAGACTGAGTTGGTTTTGTAAAACATATAGACTTATACTATCACAGCAAGGATTCTAAACCATAGCAACTATTTTTATTACACGCTTGCCTGTCAACAACTAAATACTATAAAATATGAAGATTTTCATAATTTGTATGTCTTAGACAGTCTTCTGTAAGTTGAGTTTTATGTTCATACTGTATCCACTATTAAAACAGTCTCTTAGCTTACCATTTTCAGTTGTTCTAAAGAACCCTTATCTATTGAAATGAGAACTGAACCAAGAGGGCAAGCAGCTATGAGAATACTCATAACCCTTCACTGTAGTAGGAACCATTTATTGTCATTGACCAAAGACAGATCATTAAAATTCTATAGTTAACCAAGGATATGAATGATACAGATAGACAAATTACTACCAAGTCACAGCAACTGGTCAGCACCCATTTCTGGAAATAGACTGTCTGTGAGCAGAGAAACACAATGTACTATGCTTGAGTGAAGATGATTAACATGGCTTAATGTGCTCTGATACAAAACAGTTTGGAAACCAGCAAGCCATGTCACAACAAGGAATAGATTCTGTACCCCAGAGAGATGGAGAGATAAGATGTGACCTACTTTGCTCATAATGGGGCCACCCCTTGGATAATACTTTGATTATTTGACAAGAAGATGATCCGAAACTGATATATTTTCTGCCTAAGCAATAAAACAAATCATGTTGGTCCCAGTGATGGATCTGCAGGACTGGAGACACCAGTGTTCTTTTGAGAAACAGTAAGCGTGATAGTGACATCTACTTTAAATGTGTTGCTACAAAAGCTGTGCACACTCTGAAAACTATCATCACCAGTATTTGATAACCTTTTGATAATTAGCCCAGCATTTGTGACTAAAGTCCTTAAACAAAGACAAAATATTAATCAAGATCCCTGTTGAGAGGCTTGGGATATGGCTCAATAGATAAAGTGCTTGCGGCAAAACATGAGTACCCAAGTTCAGATCCCCAGCACGTGTAAAAAAGGTAAAAATCCAAGCATGCCAGCACACATTTGTAGCTGCAGTATAAAGAAGGGTGGATCCCAGGGACATACTGGCCAGCCACTCTAGCCCAAACAACGAGTTCCAAGTTCAGAGTAGGACCCTTTCTCAAAATGAATGAATGAATTAATGAATGAATGAGTAAGAGATGCCGAGTGGCAAAGAAAACACCTTTGTCAACTTCTGGCTAACACAAATTAATTCAGGGGCAAACATAACCATGAACACACATGCTTATATAAGGGAAGGAGGGATGGAGGGAAGGAAGAAGGGGGGGAGGGAGAGAGAGAGAGAGAGAGATGTCTACCAACCAGTGAGCATAATGGTTGACAGTGTATTCCAGAGCCTAATTCATTTTTATTTCAGAAGAGTACAACTGCTTTGTTCCCTTGTAACAACCACCAAATTTAATTTAAATGAGCAATCCATTCTTTTTAATCCAAAGTGTTTCTTAAATCTTTTGGGGGCATATTTTAGGGATCTTTAGTTTGTGGATTGTTTACTACTTTAAAAAGGCAAATTGAGACTAGTTGTTACAGAAGACAATACTTATGCATATAAACTTTGAGGCAATATGCCTGGATGACAAGATCTGAGATTACTTGGGATTTGTATCTCCAGATCATGTTGCAACACATCAGAATATTCCATTTCTTATCAATTATGTCTATAAAGCCATGTTTTGGCAATTTCTTTCACCGGTGATATCATAATGCAGCCTATTTTAGTTTTATTTCCCATAAGATACCTCCCACTCCACACATGCCAAGGCCTTTTAACAATGTGGGACCACAGTATTTTAGACCTAAGAGGATCTAAGAGGTTTCCTCTTCTTAAAGCAGCTCTTCTGTCTTGAGGGATTGGGATTTATTTCAGTCACTGTACTGCCTCTCTGCTTTCCTCTTCAAAAATCGGATTAAAGCTTAGGACCTCCTAACTCATCACCACTTACTGCTCACTGTACATTATCTATACTCTACAGAAACTGCCAGCATCAGTTTTCACAACGTGTTTCCAGAGCGAAGTGTGAAAAGCAAAGGTGTGAGGACATGCTGGCCCTTCAGACAGTCTCCCGCTACACACATCGCCCCACTAGCCCTGTGCGCAGAGATCGGCTGAAGCTGACCGCGCTTCTTTTCCAGTGTTTAACTTTCTTCTTAAAGATAATACTGAGGTATTTTTTAAAAAAAGTAATCAAGGTACAAAGTAGCAGGCATGGTAATCACTGCGTATGCTCACACATAGCTACACACACTCAGTCGTCCAGCTGTTAAAGAGCTTATCTTGCTCAGAATCGAAGTCAAATTGCGACGTTTAATTCCAGAGCAAACAATTTTTTCTTTTTCTTATTAGTTTGTGGTATTATAACTCATCAAATAGAGTTAATCGGAGCTAAGGATTGCCCAAAGTATTAAGCTAATTCCTTTCCTTGACATTAGTTCCAGCTAATTCACACCAGTATTGAGGGACCCCATGTCAGTGACTGAGCTAAATTTCATTTCCTGAGCCTCATTTGCAAATATCGAATCTTATGTTCTCCAGTTTCACAGACTAGAATGTGTATGTTTACAAAAGGATAAGTTCCTCACAAAATCTGGTGGACTATTTATTACTCGATATCTTGTGATTTCTCCAGTATTGAGCTAATGCTTTGATGCCTACATGTTAACACTAAACTTTTTCTTTTATTTTAACTCATGGCTCATCCCTGATTGTGGAGGTAGCTCAGGGATACAGAACATGCTCAGCATATTCAAGACCCAGAGTTCCATCCTCAACCCTGCCACACACTCAAAAAAAGGATCAGTCTATTCCATTTTTATAACAATTTATTTATTTTAGGGGGCAAGGGCACATAAGTGTAGGGAACAACCTTAGGAGTTGGTTCTCTCCCTCTACCCTGTGGGTCTCAGGAATCAAACCCAGGTCCTCAGGCTTGGCTGCAAGAGCCTTTTCCCAGCGAACCGTCTCACTGGCAGAGGCAGTCCTAGTTCAGAAAAATGTGCTCTCTCTATTGTTTTGGCAGCACCTCAATCCTTCATTATTTCTTTCAGAGGATTTCTATAAATCAATCCTCTAAGACAGAGTTTGACTTACAGAACAATTGTGTGTGCTAGTGTTTAAAAAATAAAAACTTGGGGCTGGAGAGGTGGCTAGGTGGTTAAGAGGACTTACTGCTCTTGCAATGGACCAGAGTTTAGTTCCCAGACCCCACATAGTGTGGCTCACATCTTTCTGTAACTGAAAATTCAAAGCATCCAGTGCCTTCTCTGCCCTCCTTGGCTCTGAGTACCTGCATACATGAGCACACGCGTGCACACACACACACACACACATACACAGACTCACTCACATGTACACATACATATGCATGGGCTCACATGTGCACCCACTAATATGTGCACACACACACGCTTACATGTGCACTTACATACATACACATACTTAGTCACATGTGCACACACATAATAAATGAATAACTTCACTTTGCACTAGCCGGTTTCCTTTCTGTTGCTTGATTATACGCTTTAATGAATCCAATCAAAGCTTCAACTTCCACAATGCGCCAGCCTTTCAATAATATCCACAAGAAATTTTCTCATCTTTAATACCATAACTGTGCATTTTAAAATGATTCATGCTCAAATAAAACTTTGGGTGTATAACCATAAAGAAAAAATTTTCCAGACTTCTTAATTAACTTTAAGATCTGAGTAATACCAATATGAGAGTCTCAAAATTTAAAGGCCAGTTTAAAACAGACCAGCAGCCTGCACTGGGTGGGTCAGCAATTGTCACCCTACTTTAGAGAAAAAAGGCAGGCAGGTTGGCAGGGTAGGGCCAGGCTCTGTGCTTTGACACTCACAAGGGCTTTAGCAGAGCACGTGCTGAGTCGTGGGGAGCAGTGGGGAGTGGCTGGCTGTGTAGTGAATATGGCTTCCAGATGGATTGTTCCTTTTCCTGCTGGTGCATAACAAACTGCCCAAACCAACTGCTGGTGACCTCTGTGGTGTTACTACTCATGGTTCTCAGGCTGTCTAGGGCTCAGATGCATGGGTTGCTGGTTTCGTTTGAGATCCTTCCTGCAGCTTCAGTCTATGGCAGGTGGAGTTGGAATGGGCACAACTACTTCATGCAGAAGGCTGAGCTCAACTGGGACGTTGGGATAGCCAATCCTCTCCCTCAAATGACCTCTCAGCTGGTCTCCCCATCGCTCTGGCTGTAGTCTTGCATGGCACTCAGGAGGTTAAAAGGTGGGAGCTACAAGACCACCTTATGCCTTAACTCCAGAGTCACATTTGCTCCATGCTCTTGGATGGCAACACCTGCTCAGGTTCAGTCTGAAAAGAAATGCAAAATCTGAGGCACTGGGGCCATCTTCAAAAGTCAACCACTTACTATAAGGGTTAAGCTTTTCTTCCTTCCATTAAAACGCCAAATTCTCTCCACTCCTTTTCTAGTTCCTTGTGTCTCTGGTGGTTTGCCTAAACCTACAAATATCACCTTCTTATCTATCAACATGAAGAATGTCCTGCATTGGAATCCACCAGAGGGTCTACGTGGAGTTGAAGTCACATACACTGTGCAGTATTTCATGTAAGTTGCTTCTTTTCCTTGTAAGTTGTTTATAAACACAAGACTCAGACTCCTGTTAATTGTGCAAAAGTAAACTTTCTATGGCATTAAGTTCTTTGGAAAAAATGTTTGGATAATTCCCATTTCTTTGATGTTATAATAAATTATAAAGTTTTTATTTTGTGGAGCCAGGAGCATTGAACATTCAGGCAAGAGACTAGGGCATACTTACAAAAATTGAAAAGGGGGCCAGCAAGATAGTTCAGCAGGTTAACGTACTTGCCAACAAGCCTGAGGGATGTGAATTCCATTCTTGGGATCCACACGCTGGAAGGAGAGAATTAATTCCATCCAGTTATCCTCTTCCACCCACGTGTGCACTGTGGTTCGTGCATGGGCATGTGTGCACACCCTAGTGCACGTGCATATGCACACAGAATAGGTAACAAGTGAGATGAGTGGAGAAAAGAAGGCAAAGAAGTAGTCTCTGGCTAGGCAAACAGGGAAACCCACAAACTCGGAGACATCTAAGTGTGGAAATGATCTTAGTTCAAACGAGGCAGAATTCTATGCGATGGTTTGTTTCTGTTAAACCTAGCAGCAAATGAACACTTTTTACTTGTGCTTCAAGACCCTTCCCAAGCAAGAAAGAATGCAAAATGAACAAGACAGTATCCATCTCCAGAGAGTAAAGGAAAGGGGCAGTAACTGTGAAACAAGCAAACCAAATACTATAGAACCCGGAGTGAGACAACCGCAGATCTCAACAGCAAACCAGTGCTTTAAAAAGAACAAACTGCTTTCTATTTATTTTAAGATTGGCTTTTCTTTACTTATATGTATCTTACATGTGTGTGTGTGTGCGTGTGAGTGTATGCCCAATGTGTGTGCCCATGAAAGCCAGCAGAGGGTCCAGATCATCAGAGCTGGAGTCTTCCAGCCCCTGGTGTGAGGGCTCGAAACTTCTGGAAGAATAGCAAATGCTCTTAACCACTGAGCAGATCTCTCCAGATCCCATCTGTACTGTTTGAGTTTTATGAGTGAAAATAACTCCTCACTAGTAAGCGTTGAAGTGTTAAAAAGTGCTAGCGCTCTAAGAAGAGGTAAGTTACTGTCTTCACTGTCAGTAACCAATGAGACAGCCCCAAGGAGCCACAATTTGGTGCCACAGAATGTCATAGGAAGGGGATCTGAAGTGACACACTCATCATGGAGGCCCAGTCACAGTGCAGTGACAACTCTAGAGTAAGAGAAGCTTCTATCCTCTTCTAGAAGGAAGAAAGAAGTGACAGAGGATAGCTGGCAGCCCAAGCAGATCATGACCTTACAGGAGTGCCAGTAGCTACATCAGCCCCCAGGAGTCCACCAGAGAAAGGCAGGCAGGAGTTCCAGCAGAGTATTCTTTTTTTTTTTTTTTTTTTTTTTTGGTTTTTTCAAGACAGGGTTTCTCTGTATTGTTTTGGAGGCTGTCCTGGAACTCGCTCAGTAGACCAGGCTGGCCTGGAACTCACAGAGATCCGCCTGCCTCTGCCTCCCGAGTGCTGAGATTAAAGACGTGCGCCACCAACACCCAGCCTTCCAGCAGAGTATTCTACAGAAGCAGAACTTTAAAATATCCACAGAACAAGCTCATTGCCTGACCCCCACTCCTATACCTCAGACATTTAGACATTATTTTACTCTTATCTCAGTATGGTGTGTTCATCTCCACTTTACTTTGTGTCTTCTGGCAACTCCTCAAACTCCCGTGACTCCACCCTTCCTCCTGCCAGCATCCGATATACCTGAAAATTCTGTCTAGCTATAGGCTGTTAGCTCTTTATTAGCAAATGAGAGTAATACACATTCATAGTGTACAAAATGACTGTTCCACAGCAGGTAGGTGATATCCTAATTTCTTACCAATGCTTTGGATATGGCTGCCTGTTAGCTAATTAGACAAGCCTCATCTGTCACAGACTGAAAACTGTTTAAAAGATCCCAAAAAGAAACCAGCAAAAGAACCATCATCCAAGCCCAGGAGACCTTGAGAATGTTAGGATTCTAGGCAGTGAGACACAACTGCTCCTGGGAACACCAATTATGTCTAAGTGGAAGATGGATATTGAAGAAACTTGTTATGGAGTTTGCTTTCAATATGGTAACACTAGCCATTTGGGCAAGAAATCGTTCTTGCCTGGTCTGTTTGATAGACTGGACATGCAGGACCCACATGAAAGTGATTGCTGTAAAACAAGACAGTCCTGAGAGGTTCCTGCTTCATGGAAGAGTCTGCCAGACATTCTACAGGACACACACACAAAAAAAATGACTGACAAACTGTCAATACAGGTGGGACAGTTTCAAATTTTCTACTTTGCTGAGAAGTCTGCAAGACACACTATGGCCTATGGGCCAAAGATGGATGTTCCAATGTTACAGAGGAACATCCGGTAACTATCCAGGCAGTGAAATGTCTCTGTCAGTTCTATAGTGTATAAATTATCCTTCTGTGGTCTTTGATGGAGTTGAAGACAGATAGTTATAGTTATGGTTTTCCATAGTTATTATAAAAGATAAGTTACATGTAAGACTTTACACTCCCAAAGGATAGGTGATACAATATTTTCTTTAAGTCCTACTAAATGTTAACGGATGAAATATTGTATTTACATTTCTTGCTTAATAACTGTTTTGTTATATATTTTACTATGTTAATGTTAAACCCCTTCTTTTTATTTAGACATAAAAGAGGAGATGATGGGAAATGTTCTTCTGTGTATATGTTTCTCTTATTGGTTAATGAATAAAGCACTGTTGGCCAATAGGGGAGCAAGACAGGTGGGACTAGGAGAGGTGGAGGATTCGGGGGAACATAGGCAGATGTAAGACATAAGAGGAGTAGCAGGTCCAGACTTGTTCTCTGGTAAGAGAAGACCATGTAGATATGCATATATTAGTAGCTATGGGTTAATAATTAAGACAGAACTAGCCAATAAGAAGCTGTAGTCACCTACCAACAGTATTCATAACTAAAATAGAGTTTGAGTATTTATTTTGGAGTCTGAGATGGTTGCAGAACTGAGCAGGAAATCCTGTAACAAATATGGGTTAGCTAAAGTTGTAGGAGCTAGTTAGTAACAAGCCTAAGCTATTGACTGAGCATTTATAATTAATAATATTAAGTCTCCATGTGGTTATTTGAGAGCCTACTGCCGGGGCACAGAGAAATTCCTCATATACCTACCCATGATTATTGAGAGTGAAAGAGAAAAGGATTTGAATAAAAAGCTCCTACTAGACATTTCCATGGGAGTAAGAGAAGAATTCATAGAATAATGGTCTGTGTTGTTTTATTAAAGTAGATAAACAGCAAAATCTTTCCTTTTGTTCATTATTGTTTTTGAGATGGGGGTCTCATGTAACCCAGGCAAGCCTCTGACTTTCAATATAGCTGAAGGCGACTTTGAACTCCTAATTTATCTGTCTAGCTCCCAAGAGCCAGAATGACAGGCATGTACTGAAAACCATATTGTATATAGATTTTTCTAGACCAAATGGTGACAGGAAGTATGACTAGAACTTCCTTGTTTTATTGGCATCCATGAGGAATTGTTTCTGGACCATCCACAGATGCACCGAACATTGCCTACAATCTGCAACACCCTCCTATACCCTTTAAGCCACCCTAGGTCACTATGATACATGCTACCAGCATAAATGTTATCAAAGTAATGTCATACTATAAATGTTCAGTAAAGATACTGTTCCTCTTCCAACATTTTCTGCTTACAGTTGGCCGAGTCTACAGAGGTGGAACCTGTGGATACCAAGAATTGACTTCATATCATCATTTTAATAACTAACTTTTCAGTAGTCTTCAAAAGCATCTTCTTCACTTAGGTCATAAGGAACTAAAATTTCTCACAGTGACAGAACACTTGAACTTCAGCACTTCTTTTCATTTTACCTCATTTCTTTTGATCAAGATTCAAATCAAGTAAAAATTACTGTTTTATTGGAAACGTGCTTCAGGTACCACCTGATTTCTGTCTATGAGGTTGACTAATCACCCTTCTTCCTAAAAGTAGGATAACATGCCCAGCATCATTTACACCAAATATTTCTGGTTAATGAGCTGTAGGGTAACTTATTTCTCCCTTGGTTATACTTCCTGAATTGTATGAGTTTGAACATTTAAAAACATGCACCACATTTGTAAAAGAGAATGCCCGTGTTTGTCCTTGGAAAATGACTTCTGGCCTGATGGGGGAAATCCTGTGTATATGTCAATAAAGCACTGTTGTCCAATAGGGAAGCAAGATAGGTGGGACTAGGAGTTTAGGAGTACTCTGGGAAGGAGAAACACAGGGAGTCATCATGTAGCCCACCAGAGAAGTAAGATGTCTGTCCGGTAAGAGAAATACTTAGAAGGGTTAAATACTTAAGTCAGAGCTAGCCAGTAAGAAACAAGCGAGGCCAACAGCTTCATAATTAATACAGCATCTTGTGTGTTATTTGGGGACTACAATGCAGGAAAGCCCAGGCGACTGGTGGAGAAAAATCAAAGCGGTAGACAAGAAAAAGGCTTCTCTCTACACTGGTCATTAAAGCCTCAGGAAATACTCCTGGTGGACTTTGTCTAGAACTCCATTCTCATTTCCAAGGATGGACTCAGGAGCTGGTGTTTAAAAAGAGACTTCAGCTTGGCATAGAGCCATAGCTCACAAGCATGTCCTCACTCCTCCTTCCATTAGGTGGGGCAAAGAGCTCGCTCGGTCCTTCAGACTTCCCAGTGCTTCTGAAAGAACTTTAAAAAATAACCAAGACCGTCACGGCTGTATGGAAATGAATACGTTTTGCTGTGCAACTTTTTTAAATGAGTACTTAAAAGATACTTGGCCCATGGGAGTTCTGACATGCCAGGTGAACAGGAACACAGGGTGCAGTGCTAGGGTCAGACAGTCCTGGGTTCAAGGCCAGGCTGTGAACCTAGCTGAGTGACCTTGAGCGGGTTACACACTGTCATACTGTTTAGTGAGGTTTGTTTCCAGAGTGAAATGTTCAAAGTTTCAATTATACCCACAAAATAACCAGCTTTGCCCTGGAGAAAGTGATTCCAATTTCAGATAAACCTTTTTCCACTTCTGCAAACTTGACTGGATCTCTTAATCTTACTGAGTTTCAGTTTCCTGCTCTGTAAAACTGGGACAAAAACAATGAAGCCCACTTCCTGGGCTTGCTACACAGGTAGAATGTATAAGCCTAGAAGACTAGCCTCAGCTCATCACAGATACTCACAGGCATTTGTAGTTCTTACTAGAAATAAACTAGCAAGGCCCCCACAAGATTTATCCTGTAGGAGGTTACTGGAATATTTGTCAGATCTCCCATTCAGATATCAGTGACAGGCATTTTCTTCTTGATCAGCATCTGCATAGTAAGAAGATGCCCTGCCTTTGGTGGAGGGAGGCAGTTTACAATAGGGAACATAAAGGAAGCAATGACAGTATTTTTCCGACTTCAAGTCAAGACCTGTTGACGGGTCAGGAAATCAACATGAACCCACATTCCTAATCCTAACACCTGGAAGGTAGAAAGAAGGAGGATCAGGAGTTCAAGGTCATTATTGTCAGCTACACAGTGAGTTCAAGACAAGGCCATCTCAAAAGACCAAACACAAAACAACAAAATGAACTTGAAAAGCAGATCAGTTTGAGTAACATAGTAGTATCTTTTATGGAGAGAAATTGAATAGTGTGCAGTGGTAAACAACCAAATGCACAAGCGGAGAAGTTTGGGGATAATCTGGTAAAACCTGTGAACTGAATCAGAATATAATGATATATTTCTTTTCATCACGGATAAGAAAGTCCCCAGGCACTGTTGATAACCTGCAAGGAGAAGCTGATTAAGATCTGGCTGTATTCCTAACATCTTTTGGCAGATGTGGCATTTATGAAATGAAAGAGATTTGCTCCGGGACTCTATTGCCACACCTTTTGCCGACTTTGGCACTACGAAATACCGTTGCCAAACCCTCCTTGCCAAGACATCCTCTTCCCGAGATTTTCATGATGAATGTTTCTCCACTCCCCCTTTTGTTGCCATTCCCAAGTCTGTTTTGTGTTAACCCACACTTTGCCGGACCCCTGCCTAAGCCATCTGTGTACTGATTCCCAGGTCATTACCTCCCACTCATGCTTCGCTCTTGGACCCCGAGCTCCCGCATTCGGAGAACTCTGACGTACCTCAAACGCAAACCTGGCACTGCTGAATCTATTAGCTTTTCCCTCCTCCTATCCTTCCCCTCCCCAATTTCCCAAACCCACTCTTATCTGATGAACTGTGTGTCTTGCAAATCATATTCCATGCTCTTGACCTAGACAGAAAGAGACGTTTCATCCTCTTTACTGTGCGGTCTCTTGCATGTACTCCGTCACCCGGTCTTGGCTTCCAATCCTTGCTGTTTAGTCATGACCTCATTCATTCCACTGCCATCCTTGTCCACACTGCTTCCATCTTCCACCTGGACCACAGCAGTGTCCTCCAAGCAGCTCTCTAGATTGCTACCACCAGCACACTGGAGACAACCGCTGGGCCTTCTAAACCATGCCTTTCATGTGATTCCTGGAAGCCCTGCTCTAATCCCTTCAGTGACCTCCAGTACAACCCTGCTTCCTCAGCTGACCTGTCACTTGACTGAAACTTTTATGCCACAGTCTCTCTTACCTGAGAAGTGCTGAAAGTATCTCCTCCTCCCCATTTTCTTTGGATGTTGTATTTTAACAAGAACAAAAAACTTGCTCAATTCAATAGCAATTCGGTATAGTACTCTCACATGCTGCATCCTAGTAAAATTGCCCCAGACCCTTAATACCTAGGAAAGTTGTGAATTTTATGAGGTTATCAAAGTAATTTCTCTTCCAATAAAAAAGGTTAATTTTCCTTTAACCCATCCATCAAACTAACTGCATATACGTGTAGAGTAGACTAAAAACTTAATTACTAGAGATTGATCCCACAGTGCATAAAAATTTTACTGTCACTGAAACTGTAACATGCTTTCCGAATGCACCATCCACATTATAATTCACAGGAAAGCAAGGTGTTTATAGAAACTCTGACTCATGTACCTGACAGCTAATAAAAAAAAATATTGACAACAGCCAAAGGGGATTTGATTATATCAGAGTGACAGGCCTCTGTGTTTTGCTGAAGAGAAGGACCTCCATTCACTTTTATATAACGACTTTTTAAGGTTGTAAAGCATGTAAGGGGCCACATTATTAATTCATGGTTCCTTTCTTAGCAGATATGGGCAGAAGCAGTGGCTGGGTGCTTCTGAATGTAGAAGCATCAGCAGGACCTACTGTGATCTTTCTGCTGAGACCTCAGACTATGAGCATCAGTACTACGCCAAGGTGAAGGCCATTTGGGAAACCAAATGTTCTGAATGGGCTGAAACCAGACGGTTCTATCCATTCTTAGAAAGTGAGTAATGCCACTGTCTACTAAGCATGTACTAATCTGGATTCCTGTCGTGATACTCTGGCCTCATAGGTAACTCTGCTTGACTCTGGTCTGTAGAGCAGGTGGAGTACCCAGCCCTGGTGTTTCGTGTGGGTGAACCCCAGAGCCAAATCTAAAGATCCATAGGTTTGGCCAAACCATTTTGAAGGTCTCTCTCAGATTCAGAATTAAAGACAGTTGTCAATAATACCAAACTTTGATTTTGTTTTATCATAGCGGAGGCTCTGCATTAAAAAATATATTGTGGGTTAGTCAATCACTGATATGTGCCTGGAAAATTATAGGGTGCCCTGATTGCACAACCAAATCTCTTTTACTAAACTTTGTAGTGTACCGTTGTTTCTAGGTGTAACTCAGAATTCAGGCAAGAATATTCCTACTATTTGCTTTTTTTTTTCTATTTTTTTTTCCTTCCCTTGAGTGACTGACCCAACCATGCAGGATGCAGGCAGGGCCACCATAACGAAACACCCAAGGGCTTCAAAGGCCCCAGGAGGTGGTTCCTTTTCCAAGGGTCTGCCAGGGCAGAAGCTGGTAACCTGTGCCCTCAAATCAGAACCAGCTCCTCTGTTTTTCAACAGGCATGAGCTATTTGTATTTTTTAAATCACTTAAAAACATATTTGAGGTGTGAAAATGCTATGAGATTTAGCTTTCACTGCGGGGCTGCGATGATGGCTCAGCAGTAAAGAGCGTACTGTTGCTCTTTGCAGAGGACTTGGATTTAGTTGCCAGCAGCCACATGGCTTACAACCACATCTAACTCCAGTTCCACAGGATCAGACACCCTCTTCTGGCCTCCACTGGTAATGCATGCAATGTGGAACACAGACATACATGCAGGCAAAACACCCATACACATAAAGTAAAAATAAATAAATTTAAAGAATAAATTATCTAGAAAACATTTTGTAAATTTCAGTGCGGGCATATGAAGCTTTTCAGAACACCAGCCCCGTTCATACTTGTTTATACTGCTGCCAATGTCTGCTTTCAAACCACAAACTGAGTGGAGCCCTTGCAGCAGAGATCCTGTGGCCTGCAAAAGGCCTCTGGGCTTTCATATCAAAAGGATCTCCCATAAGAGCGCACTGTTAGGCCTTTGATCCAAGTAGGACTGTACTGTAGTAGGTTTTTCCCACACCTGAAGATGCTAACACCCTCTTTTCCTCTTAAGCACAAGTTGGTCCACCAAAGGTTGCCCTGACAGCTGGTGAGAAGTCCATCTCTATTGTCCTGACAGCACCAAAGAAGTGGCAAAGGCATCCCAACGACGACACTGTTTCTATGCAGCAAATATACTCCAGTCTGAAGTACAACGTGTTCCTGTACAACACTAAGTCAAGAAGAATGGTGAGCCCGGCCTGAGGTGGGGTCTGTCCTCTGGGTCTCACTTTCTGTGCTGCCTCGGGCAAGGGCAGTGCTGGTGTTCGGTTTTCTTCAGAGAATGTGGGAGCTGACAATATTCAAAAGAGATATTGTACAAAATAAAATGAGAGCTAAGGAGACTTCCGGCCTTTCCCTGCCGAAGCACACTGCTAACAGTGAAATAAAGTCACAACTGGAGTGTCGAACAATCTGGCACTTCACCTGATGACGCTTTCTTTACTTACCCACCATCTGTCAGTGGCTTTCCGGGATCTCATATATATATACATATATATTATACTATACAAGTTAGAACATATAATGTTATATATATAAGAATAGAGTATATATGTATACACACATACATGCCTATGAGCAAGAACACCGGACAAAGTTAAGCAAGAACTTGACCTTGAGTTATTACTTAGAAGTGTTCCTAGAATTGATCCATGCCTATACTTTGCTCAGCTAAATGAAAATATATTTTGGGTACTATGCTGAAAAAAAAAGCTGCCAATGACAGGAAGGATCCAGTGGTATCTTGGTCCTTCACTTCTTCCTCGAGCTGTCCTGGGGAGATCCTGGGATCTAATCTCTGTTTGCACTCCCCTGCCCAGTGGTCCCAATGCATCGCCAACAGCACACTTGAGCTCAGCTGGCTGGAACCGAACACTCTGTATTGTGTCCATGTGGAGTCGTTTGTCCCAGGGCCCCCCCGCCTCACTCTGCCATCTCAGAAGCAATGCATCAGTACTTTGGAAGGTAAGCTGGATGAGATTCTAGCTAGTTTCGGGAAAGAAAGCTGATAAAATAAAAATGCAACAGTTTAGGTAGAGTCTGCTTCTCTAAATGCATTGAACTATCTGAGACTTGGACATTGAGCTTGGTCAGTATTAAGGAGGGTTATCACAGCATCTGGAAACTGTCTGCAAGGCCCAGGAGGAGTTCACTGGCAACAATCCTCCCCCAATTAACATAGCTTCCTACCTTGGGAAACAGAATTAAGACTTTTCACACATGTCACTGTTCTTCTATTCAGGCATACTCACTCTAACTAAGGCTTCGAGAATACCCAAGAACGATGCAGTAAGGAAGCAAAGCATTGTTCTGCAAACACTTTCAAACACCACTGCTTTGATTTCCCCATGGGATGCAAGTTACGGGCTTCTTAAGTGGCCTTCAGACATCACCTGTCCTTTGTCAGCCACAGGTGGATGTAGGATTGTGAGAATCACTCTCCTATGGCTGCTTCTCTCTGCCTCCTTCTTATGTTTTCTGAGCAAGGCTCCCATGGGACTGTAGTTTTGGATGCTTCTTTTAAAAGAGCTGGAGTTATGAGCCTTGCGTTTGTTTAATGTGTGCCCTACAGAGAGAACAACTCAATCCCTGAAAATGGAAGAAAAATAGACCCTCAAGTTCCCCTGCATATTAGATGGTCTTCACCCATCATCATTCTGGCCCTCCCTTCTAACAAATGCTCACAACCTCTTGCCTTAAGTGCTGGTTCTTTCCCCATCCCTGACTAAGAACCCACAGCCCTTACCAGGTCAGTGTTGACACACACCTTTAATCCCAGCACTTAGGAGGCAGAGATACGTAAATCTCTGAGGTTGAGGCCAGTCTGGTCAATAAAGCAAGTTCCAGGACAGCCAAGACTATGCAGAGAAACACTGCTCAAAAAATAGGAAAAGAAGAACCCCCCCCAGCCCTAGCCCGACCCCTGCCTCGCTTGTACCCCCATTGCTTTCCTCTTCTCTTTCAAGGTGAAATGGTCCCCAGGAAAAGGAAGAGTGTTGAAAATTCATATGAACAGTAAATAGCTTTACTTCTGAGTCTCAGTTTATCACCTCATCTCTTTGACAAGAAAGGACTCTCTACCCTAATAAAAATAAAATTCAAATGCCAAACAAGCAGGAAAGGGACACAAAACAGGCTGGGGGAATCAATTTTGTGTCTGGAATAAGTGCTGTGTTTCCTAACCGTTTGATCAGTGCCAAATGGTAGAGTGCATTTCCAATGGAGCTCATTCACTCAGCTGGGGGTGTTAAGGCAATGAAGAGCAGCAGCTCAACCAGCTTTTCCCAGTGAGAACATGGAGCCCATTTCCTCTCCAGTGCAGTCAAGGGAACAGATACAGGCACACCACTTCTTGTATTGAAGTTTCCCATAATATTCCACCCAATCAATCACCAGAGATATCCTCCAAGACACAGCTTTATTTATTTAAAAAAATCAACTTTATCTCCTCAGGGATTATGCCTTGAAAAAAATCTCTGCTCCTGAAGTTTCTCAACTAAATCCCTAAATGAAAATGAAATGTATTAGGTTTATTGTAGCAAATGTGCTGATACACACTTAGTACTTAATCAGAAATTGTCATGATCTTCTTAGGCAGGATAAGTCTGCCCTAGTGGTGTGATCAGGGCTATCCTGAGGACTGAAATGCCATCCAAAGCAGAACAGACCCTATCCCCAACAATCCCAACATTTGCTTCACAGCCTTGGCACATTTCTGTATAGGCAGATGAGCACTCTCTCTGGAGACTGTGGAGTGGGTAGAAGAGTCTCCAAGGGATGCCCATGATGGATTTTCCCACTGGTGTGGTTGATCACTATCATAATACATCTGTTTCTCATCTATAGATGGTAGTTAGCAGGATAGATGCTATGTTGTTTTCTCTCCACCAGACAACTAGCGCACCCAACAGCCACAATGATTAGAATGCTCCTGTGACACACTGGCTGACTTTATTTTTTTTTCGTTTTTGTTTTTTGAGACAGGGTTTCTCTGTATTGTTTTGGAGGCTGTTCTGGAACTTACTCTGTAGACCAGGCTGGCCTCAAACTCACAGAGATCCAACTGCCTCTGTCTCCCAAGGGTTGGGATTAAAGGTGTGCACCACTAACGCCAGCGTGGCTGACTTTATTAGTGTATAAGGAATGTTCTAGGATTTTGTGGTTGGTGCTAAATGTGTATGTTTTGAGTGAGTGTGTGTGTACGTGTGTGTGTGTGTGTGTGTGTGTGTGTGTTTCTACAGCACTTAGAATTCTCCTGTGAAACAGAACCAATGGGATAGATAGATACAAAAGAAATTTTTAAGTTCTTGTCATAAGCTGGAAAGCACAAAATCTGTAGGGTAGGCATCAAGTTGGGGACCTTAGGAACACCTGGCATTTAAGTTCATCCCCAAATGCGTGTGGTACCAGAATTCCCTCTTCCTCGGCTTCATCAGTCTCTTTTTCTTAAGAGCATCAGTTGAGTAGTTGAGAACCATCTACATTACACAGAGCAATTTCTTTCTCACAATCTACTCTTTAAAATGTTAAATCTCATCTAAAAACTATACATCTAAAGAAGCATCTATAGTGGCGTTTAGCAAATATCTATAGCCTACACATGTTGACATATAAAATTAACCAGCCCAACTTCCAAGTAGTTCCCACAAGCTGTGCTGTAGGCCTGTGATGAGTGAAATATCTATCCAATAATGAAAAGGCTTAGTGAAGAGACTTAAGAAGAATACCCTGGAACTGACAACAGAGCTGATGCAGGTTCCATCCTGTCAGACAAATTCGAGTTCTGGGAAGCAACCAAGGGCAATGGCAATTCTCTGTAATATTTGAGGAGTTTTCTTAGACTATTCTGACTAACTCAAAGGGAGGTTTCCCATCCCTGGCACTAGGCATTCCATTAAAGAGGGTGTTGCTGTTTGGTTTGAAGAGTTGTGAGTTCCTAGGCTTACAGACCCATTGCTTTTCACATACACGAGCCAGGATGAGTGGCAGAGAATGACATAAGATTTTGAAATGCCCAGTAATATGTTATTAATGTAGCCTTACTGCAAACATGGGAGTAGTTTAGACAGTGTTGTAACTTAAGAAAAGTGGAGTGTGAGACAAAGATGACATGTGACAGGGTTCAAGCGGGTTTTTTTTTTTTAGTAGGGAAAGGGATCATGTAAAGAGGAAAAGGAAGGGGGAGACTGGATCTCCAGAGACAGGAACAGAAGGAGAGAAGAAAGGAAAAAAGGGGAGAGTAAAGAGGAGGAGGATGGGGAGAGAGGGGGAACAGAGAGAGAGAGAGAGGAGGGGGAGAGAGGGAGGCATGGGAGGTGGGCAGAGCCCTTTTAAAAGGGAACATAGTGAATGTGCACAGGTGGTGCTCTTAGTGGCTACAGCTGAGGGCGTATCCTGTCAGAACCCCAAGGACAGGCCAGTACAGATGCTTGAATACTAACAGACAGTGCCTTGAGAACTTCATTGTCAGCATGATGACAAATTCTGAGACCCCTGACAACATTAGCTGAAGCTTCTCAGTGTATAGATGAGAAACACAACTGTCCAGTCCTCACCCATGATTTTTTCTTTAACAGATCAAATGTCAGCATTGAAGGTTAAGGTCATCCTCTGGTATGTCTTGCCTACATCTGTTATCGTCTTTCTTTTTTCTGTGATGGGCTACTCAGTTTATCGTTACATCCGCGTTGGCAAAGAAAAACAACCATCGAATTTGGTGAGTGCTTGGCATGGTGGAAGACTGTGATGACAACAGGGAGAGAGAGGAAGAGGGGTAGACCAGACACAGTTTAACATCAGAGCAGGGTGCCCTTAAGCCATTGATAAATCTAAAACGTATTCTGAGCTGAGAGTAGCTGAGTAAGACAGTCCTTACATATCATGTGTGCCATCCTGGGTGTGACCTACCCCTGCACCTCAAAACCAAACAAAAAGCAGCTTTGTACTGAATTCACTCACAACTATACCAACACCAAAGTTTGAAACACTTTTATAAAACTAATGAGTGCTTAAGGTTGTGGAATAAACACAATTTAAGTCATGATCACTCTGTCTTTCTCAAAATCCAAGCCTCATTAGAGACAAGCTGTGAAGGCTAAACGAAACAAAACAAGTTTTTGAGGGCTCATGGGGCACAAGGAAACGCTGCAACTTTTAATATGGGGGCATCAGTTCTCTTTTTCAAGGGTATGAAAGTAAGAACTAGTAGCCTACGTGTCCCCCATGAAGAGTTACACTGGAGAGCAAGCACCAGGCTGTGTAGTGGGAATATGTGGGGCTTTATTTAGTCTTGAAGAGAATTTTCAGTAAGGTTCTAAATTGCAATGCTATGATCACCATCATGTTTTAGATCTTCTTCTAGAAAATAAATACAGCTGGTTCTAGTAAAGCAAATGCAGCTAAGATGCCATCCAGGGGAGAAAAGATGGCATTCTCAAAGAGGAGAATGGGACATGGGGATAGGGATTTGGAACATGAAATCTAAACACACTTAGGAGGCACACGGCCAGGACTTGAGCATGCACTGCAAGAGGAAGCATGTCGAAGAAACAAATGAGATGTTATGGGACTATCTGGTGAAAAGATCCAATGGGCTCAGCACTTAAATGGAAGCATGTCATGGGGTGACAGGAAGATTGTACCTTGTCGCTGCTTCCCTCAATAACAGGCACCTTCCACATACCCCAAAGCAGAACAAAAATTATGTCTGTGTCACTCAGGATGGAGCCCAGGGCCTTGCACATGCAGACGGTGTTCCACCCCTTAGCTGTATCTCCAAACAATTCTTTATCTTTTCTTCTGAGACAAGGTCTGGCTAAATTGCTTTGGATGGCCTTTCCTCTCTTAGCCTCCAGACTACCTGGGGTTATCAGGGCCTTATTGATTTTCCTTATTCTCATGTATCCCTGACGTGGTTTAGACTTTTAAAAATCTCTCCACACTGGCAGATGAATTGTCCTCCTTCCCCCCTTTTTTTCTTTTTTTGAGCACAATTTGAACATTATATCCCTGTATTCATTCCCTTTCTGGTGCTGTAATAGAGTCCTTTGACTGAATCAAGTTTTGGGAGAAGGGGGTTGTTTCAGCTCATAGTTCCAGGTTACAGCCCATCACTGGGAGCGGGGGTAGGAGCTTGAAGCAGAGTATCACAGAGAACAATGACTGAATGCCTCCAAGGCCCAACCTAGGAAAAGATGCTGTCCATGTTCAGGGTGTGTCCTCCCACCTCCCTTAGCTTAATTAAGAAAATCCCCCACAGGCACGTTCACAGGTCAACCTAGTCCAAACATAGACCTTTCCTCATTGAATTTCTCCTCAGGTGGCTCTGTGCTGCGTCAAGGTGACAATAGAAACCAAACGTCATACTCCCTTTCTATATTCTATTTTTATGTCTGTGGACATTTCATATTCATAGTATATCCAGGAAAGGGCTATTAGTCTGGGCAGCCCCAGCTGGTACTAACTACACACAGAATTACTAACTACACACAGAATTACTAACTACACACAGAATGTACTAACTACATACACACAGAATTACTAACTACACACAGAATTACTAACTACACACAGAATGTACTTTCACCTGTCTTACTCATCAGTCTTCATCTAGCGGAGTTGCCAGGCTTACGGAACTGAGAAGATTCTAGAATGTCATTGTCTCCCAGCAGCCCTCCTTTCGGTCACACCCCTGAACACCTCACACCGGAAAAACACTCACAGTGACGCAGTTCACTTCCGGTTGCATTTTGAGTTATAGGATGAACATAATTCCCTCTCCTGAGTTGGTCAGAAAGGGTCTCACACTGGCTGGCGACCCCGGAAGTTCTAGCTGGTAACCCCGGAAGTTCTAGTGGGCAGCTCTTTGCAATGTCTCTCTGAAGTGAAAAGATGAACTCCACCTTCTTCTCTCTGCAGATTTTGATTTATGGAGATGAAATTAAAAGATTCTTCGAGCCTACCGAAACAATTACACTTAATTTTATCACCCTCAATATGTTGGATGATTCTGAAATTTCTCAAAAAGATATGAGCTTACTGGAAAAAAGCAGCGACAGCTCCTGCCTTAATGACCCTGAGCTCAGTGGGAGCCGGCATCCCCCTCTGGAGGAGGTGGAGGGGCCATGCTTAGGATACTCTTCGCCTTTGATGGACACTGTCAGTGATACTGAGCAAAGCAACCACAATGCTTGCCTAAGCTGGCAAGAATGGCTCAGAAACACCACGCCCACGGGGGCGTCAGACAATGACCCTGAGTACAGTGTCCCAGCTGATCTCTACGGGGAGGCTGAAGACCACCAGCTCTGTGGGCAGGAAGAGGCATCCAGAACAGGGACATTATCTGAGCCACAGGAAGCTTTAGCAAACTTAGGCCTACCTCTTGAAGGCCTACATCACCTGGGACAGGGGCATCCTGGCTCAGAAGAGGGGCCAGAGGAAGAGCCATCCACAACACTAGTGGATTGGGATCCTCAAACCGGCAGGCTGTGCATCCCTTCCTTCCCTAGCTTTGGCCAGGATCCTGTGGACTACGGGCATTATGAGAGAGACCAACTCTCAGGGGATGGCCTTTTGTCTACACTCTATAAGAACCAGGCCCCTGACAAGTCAGAGGATGAAAATGAAAACTATCTCGTGCAATTTATGGAGGAATGGGGGTTACATGTACAAATGGAATGCTAACCCCAGACTTTCTGTTGACTGACTTCTCCTGTGATGGGCCATGTGTCTGTCAACAAATGAATGTACAATTCCAGTGAGTGAACCATGGAAATGAGTAGGTCAACCTGTGTTCCGGTTCCCCAGAGTCAGAAATGACTTTCTTGTCTCTGCTAGTGTACTTGGTTGGCCCTGCTTCCTCCAGGTGATTGGCTTCTACTGGATCATCTTCCTGATCCACAGTGAATTCTGAAACAGAAACTTTCTGGAATACAGAGCTCTGAGCTTTGTTGTAGACAGAGTAAGCATTTCCAGATTAAATGGGGACTTTCTACACGAATGTGAACCATGCTCATGGTTTATTATTTTCTAACAAGTATGTCTGTGCAGTTATTTTCTTGATTTTTACTGTACGTATATAACACTATAAAATGTTTCATAAAAGTCATTTATTTTATAAACACTCCTTTTCTAGAATTTCTTGACTATGACAATGTTAGAACACTTCAACATTGCTACTAAGTGAATGGTGAATGGTTTCCACATAAAGAGCCCACTGTTAAATCATGATAACCCATGTTCAGGCCAGCCTCCATGCTTCTGTCTTCTGTAAGAGGGAGTGTTTATCGGTCTTGAGCACTTTTGGTGTGTGAGCTTAAGTGGCTATTCTTTTGTAGTCAGGAAAATGTCCTCTCAATAATTTAGTAGGGGACCTTTGTTACCCAAAAGACCTGCCACATTTATAATAGAATACCATGCTCATTTTGGAAGATGTATTGTTAAAAATATATTTAAGTAGCTGTAAACTAGGGAATGTCCCTCACTGAAGTGCTGAATCACCAACCAGTCGACAGGGACAGACAATACAGCAAAGTGTCTTAGGAAAATGTATGAATGAATACTTCCTTGCCACATAATGGTAAAATCAGTAGTAAGTAAACACAGGGCATAGAAAAGCAAGTTAAATGAATATGTGAGGAAGGATCTATTAAAGGTTGACACCGCTCACTGTGGAAACTGAAGTACATCATAAAATACCTTCCTGGTGATTCCAGTAACTACTCCCATCGTCTTCACAATTTAATTAAATTCTACATCATGCTACATTAAACAGGACAGAATCTATAACGTTGAGCCATGTAACACGATTGATGTTTCAATGTTTTAGACCTACAGAAACATCGTTTTATGTCTTTGTTTAATTATGAACTCAGTCCACTGAGTATCTTTCAGGAAGACAGATATCATCCTATTTCCTTAGTCATATGTTTGGCAGAAGCAGACAGGTCTGGTAGGAGAGATGGATTCTGGGGTCATGGTCTCTTGCAATTATCCACAAATCCGAACAGTTTCTGATTTAATGGTTTAATTTAGAGCATAATCATATTAATCAGAGTGTTCTGTTCTTCTTGGTCTTTGTAGAAATGACTCTGGTGACTTGGAAGAACAAATTTATGATACAAACTGGAAATGAGGTTCAGGAATAGGAGAGAATAGATTGTTTTTAAGAGCAAAAAGGAAAACCATGATGGTTTGGCTTATTAATTTCACTCACAAAATATTTATTTATTGTTTATGAAGTGCCTACCTACTATATCCTTCAATGTTCTCATCTGTGAAATACAAATCAAAACTTCCTTACCATGATGAAAAGGGCTAGACAGCAGGGGCACCTCAAACAGGGCAGTGCCTAGAACGGGAGCTAGGAAATATCATCTTTGTTCTCTGCTGATTCGTGTGCTCAACGTCAGAGCCAGGAGCCATCTTGCCAAGAGAGTGATGCAAATGTGTGCCTTGTCTAACTTTGTTTTTCTCACCTGAAAGCACAATAATAATTAGCTTCCTACTCTGTTCCTTCACTGAAATCATCTGTGTTGAGCCACATTTTCTGCTTTTAAGAGAGGAATCTAATTCTGGGTTGTCTTTCTGTCTCTTGTCATTCTAAGCACATCAGACGTATTCAGCATTTCAGTAGCTTGCAACATGTGAGCATACACACAGAGGAAGACAGAGAGACAGAGACAGGAAGACTACCTGGTTTAGGATTCAACTTAGGTTTTTTACCTTGCTCATTGGATCAAAGGTATGTGCATTCTATAGAAACGGCATACTTCCAAGTTTGCGAGTTGCTCTTTTGTCTCGTGGTATTCCATTGTTTCTGTTAATACTGAGGAGTCAGAGCTCCCAGTCAGCACTGTGGTCACAAAGGAGAAACAGCTCAACAGTAGACTGAGTTGCCATGGTAGCTGGGCTAGCAGTGGTAAAATTTGAGAATCTCTGTGTTAAAAAGTGGGTCCCCATGTTTGTGCTTTTAAAAGAGACCATGGGCCTCAGTGGGGTGGGGCTTAGTAGGAGGGAATTAAGTCATTGGGAATACACCCTTGAAGGGAATTGTGACACCTGGTCTTCCAGGCTTTGTCCCCTGTTTTGTGCTGGGAACACTAGTTTCCTTGTGGGCTCCTGACCTATGCCACACTCAAAGAGCCCAAATCCAAGAGGCTGTTTATTTGCTAGCTCAAACCCTTCAGAATTGTGAGCCAAAGATCAGCATTTCTTTACTTTGTGCCTATTCCAGGTAAATTATTATGACTACGTGAAACTAACACAACATATTAAATCCATTTCCAAGGTACATTTTCAATCTATGATGAATTATCATGTACATACATTCAAATAAGCCTATGACCTATTTCTTGTGGGGAGAAGGTCATACTTTTCAAATGTGGGAGGCAAATGTCATATATCCTTTCTTCTGTGGTCAGGCCCCAATACTTTCTCTGCATCTTCATGGAGTCTATCCCTGGGGAACACGTGTAGCTGCGGAGTGTCAGGGTTCTTGACCAACGCTATTCAACTAATCACTCAAGTCCAGGGTTTCTGCATACTGTTTCCACCTTATACTTCTTTACTCATGAAAACATTCGTCACTGAATCTATACCCAGGCAATGTACCCATACACATAAAAAATAAAATTAAGTAAATATTTTTAACAAAAGGAAGGAAATTCCACCACTGGGAAGCAAATGATGCCAAATGTCATATCTTGCCCATGGGATGAGAGTGGGTAAGGGGAATTTGTCTCCCAGCAACAGGAGAAATGTTTTAGTCTGTGCTCAGCCCCAAGGAAACCAGTACCGCAAGGATTGTACAGCCCAGAGCGCAAGCCTGCCCAGTGTGATAAACATAATGAGAACATTAAACAGAGAGTTGATCATCACAGCTGGGTGCACTGGATCATAAATCATATTCTCTCCGGCCCACACATTACCTCCCCCACATCTTCCTGATGAATTCAAGCTAGATTATCTTAGGATTGTTTTTCTCTTTTTCCCTCTTTGGTTCCTCACATTATATCAACCACAATCCACAACTGTTTTTCAAAGCCTTTATTTTTTAAAAAGTGCCTATAGTTTATAATAATAGTATGACTGTAAGTATTTTAATAATTTTATTTTACTATAGAAAATACATTAAGATATATACATACGTAAATTGATCGTAGACCAATGAGAAATGAAAAGTTTTAATTATTTGTAATTAAATCCCACTCAGATTTAACCTGTGTTAAGTGTATTAGGGCAGAGAAATTGTTCTCAGTTGGGGACCATTTTGTCCCCCAGGGGACATTGGCAATGTCTGAAGACTTATATTGTTTTGTTTTTGTTTTTTGAGACCAGAATCTCACAATGCAGCCCAAGTTTACCTAGAACTAGGTTTAGAACCAAAGATGCTGTTAGACCTGTGGGCTCAAGTGGTCCTCCTGCCAGGCTCCATGAGAGACTGACCTGAGAGGTATGCATCATCACACCTGACTTGGAAACATGCTTTTTTTATTGCCATGCCTCAGAGATAGTCATCTAAGGGCTCTTATGGAGATAGGATCTGGGAATATTCTAAATATCCTACTCTGCATACAGAAACCCCTATAATTAAGAATTACCCAGCCCAAATTAGTTCTTCTGTAGAATTTTCCAGATGCTTTCATGCATATACACTCCCAAATGGAGATCATGTTGAATTATTCTGTAACTTGAGTCTTACACACACACATACACACACACGCATACACGCACACATGCACCACAAAAAATGTCTAATGAACTATTTTATTTTAACTATTTTAATAGTCTGAGGTACCAGTCTTATTTATGGCAGAATTTAGCGGCATAATGGGAATTACTTTCTCTGAGCATCATACTTTAGTTTTGTAACAGCAAAAACAATAATCAAAAATTATAGACATTAAGAGTCCTTCATTAGCCAAGCATGGTGGCTATATCTCCAATTCCAGCACTTGGGAGGTGGACATGAGAGAATTGGGAGTTCAGGGTTAGCCTGAGCTATGTGACTTTAAAGCCAGCCTTGACTATATGAGACCTTTTCTCAAAAAGACGAATGAAGGAGGGGTCCATTTTATATTCCGTAAGGATTCAGTTTGACCTGGCTGTGGAAATTCTGGGGGGTAACTGCCATTACCACCTGGAGTATCCCTGGTTGGGTTTACCATGGAGTTTCCCAATATATCATAAAGAAGGAAGCCAACAATGTATCTGATACTTTTCACTGGGACAAAAACAACTTACAAAGAAGAATTTGTCTTAGCTTACAGTTCATGACAGAGGAGACATGGCACTGTGGCTCTAACTGTGGTGTGACCTGTTACAGCTCCATTGATCAGGAAGCCCGTGCAGGTAGCAATCCTTTAGCTCACTCCTACAACCCATGTCTGTCTGCCTACCAGGGCTCATGTTCAAAAGTTTCCCCAAACTGCACCATATCCAGCAACTAACTGTTCACATGCATGAGCATCCTGGGGCATTTCACATTCAAATCAGAACAAGCAGTGTGTGGAACTTAATGACTATACCCTGGTGCAGCCTATAGTCGTGTACCTCATGTCCTTGATTCTAGCTTAAGCTAAACCAGATATATCTCAGCTTGGATGAAGTTACCTTTGTCTCTGCCACTTTATAAGCCTATTACTTCTCATCCTAACACCAAGATCCACTGTTCTTGATGCTACCCAGGACTATGCTTCTGTCAGTAAGTCCCTTGTCAATTACAATGTCAATCCTGAATCTGCCTGCCTCATTCTCCATGCTTTCAGAACCTTGGATACATTCTCATACACTGGGAACTGGTCATTCTACAACATATCTAGAATGTGCTTTCAATATGGCTACGTCTCCAAAAGCATTGTTTTTTGGTAGTTATTACCTCTCCCAAGTGACCTGATGACTGTGAGATGGTGTCTTCACCTATGGGTACTGGCTTTGGTCCTCTAGGTCTTCTTAAGCACTGCCGACCCTCATCACAGACAGGTGATTGAAGGCAGCCATCTATGTACAGCCATTTCCTCCCTGGGCAGCTACAGCATTCTGATACCACTTTCCTCATTTTAATATCTAGCAAATTCGCCCATTGTTTTTCATTCTGATTTTAATTCC